GGGGGGTCACCGGCCTCACCAGCCCCCCCCCCCCCCCCCCCCCCCCGCCGTGTCCCTGCCCCGAAACGTCGCCGGGTTTAGCTGAAAGACCAAAATTACCGGAGCCTAAAATAGCCCCAACGCCGGGCTGGGGGGGGGGGGGGGGAGCGCAGGGATGTGCCAGGGCCGATCACATCTCAGCACCGGCACATCCCCCCCCCACCCCCGGCGCGGCACAGCACCGCTCTGCCAGCACCCGGCAGGATGGGACCCCCCCCATCCCCAGTGGGATCCATCAGCAGGCCAGCCCCCTCCCGTGCCTCAGTTTCCCCACACAGGCGAGAGGTCCCCTCCATCGCCAGCTCCCGGCGGGTTATTTCAGGGCCGGTCGCGGCGCTTGTGCTTTGTTTTGTTTTTTTTTTTTCCCCCCCCCTCCCCTCCCCTCCCCTCCCCGTACCGTCACCTCACACCGGGTGACGCGTGGCTCGGGGCGCTGGCGCCGGGGCTGTGACAGCGCGGTGACAGCGGAGGGGGGACGGGGACAGGAGCCTCAGCATCCAGCCGCGGCCTCATCCTGCCCTCCTCTCCCATCTCTCCCTTTCCGCTCCGCCGGGCAGGGCCACAGGGAAGCCAAATCCTCTTTTCTCTCCCGCAGAATAAAACCAGTGGAGGGTGGTTGTGGTTTGGTTGTTTTTTTGTTTTTTTTTTTTCCCCTCCCTGTCTAAATTTTTTTTTTTTTTTTTTTTTTTTCCAATATAAATAGAAGCGAACAACTTGGGAAGAGGAAGGGGGAAAGGCTTAAATTTAAAAGCAGCGAGAAGAGGAAGGGGAGGAGGGAGAGAGATAAAATAATACCAAAAAAAAAGGGAAAAAAACCTCTAGCGCGGAGAGATTTAGCTCCATCTGAAAGCTGTCAGCGCGAATAAAAAGCTTTTCTTTGAACCCTGAGTTTAATAGCGAGAGGAGAGAGAGGGAGATTGGAGCCGCAGCCCCGGGGCTTAATCAGCCCTGGGTTTGATAAATGGAGGGAGACAGGGCTGGGGGGGGGGCCCTGTCCCCGGGGGTCCCTGCGCCCCCCCCAGCCCGGCCCGCGCCGGGGGCCACGCACCAGCCACGCACCAGCCCCGCAGGAGCCACGCGTGGGCCCGCCGGGGCGTGGGAGGGACCTGCAGGGACCCCACCGGCCCGTGCACACGCGCGTGTTCCCGTGCGCACGGGTGTAGTCCCCTGCGCGTCTGGGCACGCTTGCGCGCACGCGTGTGCTTTCCCCACGCGTCCCGGGCATGCAGGCATGTTCCCGTGCACACATGCACATCCCCATGCACACATCCGTGTGTTCCCATGCACATCCCCATGCACACATCCGTGTGTTCCCATGCACATCCCCATGCACACATCCGTGTGTTCCCATGCACATGCCCATGCACACATCCACGTGTTCCCGTGCACACATGCACATCCCCATGCACACATCCGTGTGTTCCCATGCACATGCACATCCCCATGCACACATCCACATGTTCCCGTGCACACATGCACATCCCCATGCACACATCTGTGTGTTCCCATGCACATCCCCATGCACACATCCGTGTGATCCCGTGCTCACACGCACATCCCCATGCACACATCCGTGTGTTCCCGTGCACACAGGCGCACGCTCCCATGCACACGTGTACTCCCACGCACACATCCACATGCTCCCACACACTCCCATGCACACAGGTGCATTCCTATGCACACATGCACATTCCCATGCACACAGGCATGTGTTCCCATGCACACATGCACAATCCATGCCCCCATGCACGTTCCCATCCACACATGCACGTTCCCATGCACATGTGCATGATCCATGCACACAGGCACGTTCCCATGCACACAGGCATGCTCCCGTGCACACATACGTGTGTACCCGTGCACAAACATGTGCATGCATGCTGAGAGCCCAGGGCCACCGTGCCACGATCCCACCCCCTCAACACTTCCCGGGGGCCAGCGGGGGGTGATGGGGGACAGCAATGAGGAGGGGCTGGCAGCGAGGGGGGGCACCCCCTGGTTTTTAGCCCTTGGGGAAGCCGCCCGCCTCCTCGGCGCAACGTCAAGGCCCCGCGACACGGAAAGGCTTTGGGCCTCCCCCGCGCCCGCCGGCCCCGTATCGCCCTCCTCCAGACTAAACAGCCCTTTGCCCGGCAGGACGGGCAGCGCAGGGGGTTGCTGGGGGGGGGACGACATTCCAGTGTGTGTGTGTGTGTGTCCCCGTCCCGTCCCACCCCCCCAGTCCCTCGGAGCACCCAGCAAAGCCCCTTCGAGGCGGGGAGGGAAAGGGGAGGCAGAAACTAGCAGTGTTGATGCCAACCCAGTGCCAGCCCCGTGCCAGCCCAGTGCCAGCCTTGAGCTAACCCAGTGCCAGCCCCGTGCCAGCCCCGTGCTAACCCAGTGCCAGCCCCGTGCCAGCCTTGAGCTAACCCAGTGCCAGCCCTGTGCCAGCCTGGTGCTAGCCCAGTGCCAGCCCCATGCCAGCCCAGTGTTAACCCAGTGCCAGCCTGGTGCTAGCCCAGTGCCAGTCCCATGCCAGCCCAGTGTTAACCCAGTGCCAGCCTGGTGCTAGCCCAGTGCCAGCCCCGTGCCAGCCCAGTGCCAGCCCAGTGCCAGCCTTGAGCTAACCCAGTGCCAGCCCCGTGCCAGCCCAGTGCCAGCCCCGTGCTAGCCCAGTGCCAGCCCTGTGCCAGCCCAGTGCCAGCCCCGTGCTAGCCCAGTGCCAGCCCTGTGCCAGCCCCATGCTAACCCAGTGCCATCCCCGTGCCAGCCCCGTGCTAGCCCAGTACCAGCCCCGTGCCAGCCCCATGCTAACGCAGTGCCAGCCCCGTGCTAACCCAGTGCCAGCCCTGTGCTACCCCAGTGCCAGCCTGGTGCTAACCCAGTGCCAGCCCAGTGCCAGCTCAGTGCCAGCCCCGTGCTAGCCCAGTGCCAGCCGGTGCCAGGCCGGCGCTGCCCGTCGGGCAGGCAGGGGGCTGGGGGTCCCCCCGCTCTGTCTGGCAGGCAGCCGCCGCTGCCTGCGCCTCCTCCTGCCTGTCTCGCCCCCCCCCCTTCCCCGGCTCTGATCTTCCCTCACGCCCACCTCTCTCCAGGCACCTTCCTCTTTGATCTCCGCTCTGCTTTTTATTTCCCGCTCCCCTCGGCCCCCCCCCCCATTCTTGCTCCATCCCTCCCCTCCTTCCCCCGCCTCTCCCGCTCTCTCCTTCCCTTTATCTCCCTCCCTCCTTGCATCCCTGCTCTGTCTACCCTCCGGGGGGGGCCGCAAGGCTGGCTGGCGTGGGCTGGGAGTTGGGGGGGGCCGGGGCGGTGGCATGGGGTCACCCCAGGGTGGCCGGGAGCAGTGACTGTCCCCAAATCACCACAGCGGCCTGCAAGGGTGTTTGCTGCACCCTGTTGTGCTGGGGTGCCCGGCTGGGGGGATCTTGGGGTCCCTAATCTGGGGGCTGTCCTAACCCAGGGATCCCTGAGTACCCCATCCTGGAGATCTTGGGGTGCCATGTCCTGGGGATCATGGGGTGCCCCATCCTGGCGATCCTGAGTGCTGTGTCCCAAGGATTTGGGGTGCCCCATCCCAGGGATCCTTGGATGACATGTCTTAAGGATTCTGGGGTACCCCATCCCACAGATCCTGGGGTGTCATATCCTGGAGATTCTGGGGTACCCCATCCCAGGGATCCTGGGTGCCATGTCCCAGAAATCCCAGGGTGCCATCTCCCAAGGATCCTGGGGTGCCATGTCCCAAAGATTTGGGGTGCCCCATCCCAGGAATCACGGGGTGCCACATCCCAGGGATTTTGGGTGCCCCATCCCACAGATCCTGGAGTGCCATGTCCCAAGGATTTGGGGTGCCCCATCCCAGGGATCCTGGGGTGCCATGTCCCAAGGATTTGGGGTGCCCCATCCCAGGAATCATGGGGTGCCATGTCCCAAGGATTTGGAGTGCCCCATCCCAGGGATCCTGGGGTGCCATGTCCCAAGGGTTTGGGGTGCCCCATCCCAGGGATCCTGGGGTGTCATGTCCCAGTAATCCCAGGGTACCATCTCCCAGGAATCCTGGGGTGTCATGTCCCAGGGATCCTGGGGTGCCCCATCCTGGCGTTTTGGGGTGGCCTGATGCTGACTCTCGGTGTACCTGTCACCACAGGTACTGGGGATGCCGCGTGTGGGTCGTGGGGGGTCTCTCCAGCTCAAGACCCTGCGCGTTGCTGTACCCCACCCCGTGCCGGGACCCCCGGGCAGGCGCCGGGGTGATGGTGACGGGTGGGTCCCCCACGCCAGGCACAGCGAGGAGGGGGCCAAGCACCGGCACGGCCCATCCCCCTTGGTGGGGACAAGGGAGCCCGGCTGCCCCTCAGCCCCTGGGGACAAACCCGAGCGGGTTGGGGTGCCCGAGCTGTGGCTGTGCCCGGCGTGGCTGTGGCAGGGGCGTGGGGCACCCCACGAGTGGCACAGTGCCGGGTTGGGCCAGGCCACGCAGGCAGAAGCCACGCTGGGGACTTGGTGGCTTCGTTATCCGCGGCTCGCTCATCCCCTCCAGAGATTTCTGCCTCCCCCTCTCCCACGCCACCGTGGAAATCATTTGAATAGTTTGGAAAAAAAAAGCTTTTGAAGAGGGGGGGTGGGACACCGATGGGAGAGCAGTGATGCCCCTCTCCCCACTGCCCTTCCCGGGGTCCTGCTCCCTGTGCCAGGGGCTGGTAGCACACGCGTGTGTCCGGCACACCCGCCACGTCCAAACCGTGTGACGGCATCAATCCCCACTGCCGCACAGGGTGGGGGTTTGGGAGTGCGGCAGAGCCCGGTTTGGGGGGGTTCCCACACCCCCAGCAGCTCCTCTGAAACCTCCAGGGACCGCGGGCAGCTCAGGGGGGGGACGGTGCTGGAGCCACTGGCGTGACGGAGCACCGGCTGGTGCCGGCACGGCCGCTGGTGCCGGGGCACCCGGGGCCCCTGGCTGACCCCCCCCCCTCCTCTGTCCACAGCGGCACAGACGCGGTTCGTGGAGGAGCCGGAGGACCAGACGGTGGTGGCCGGCCAGAGGATCGTCCTCTCCTGCGTGGTGCTCAATTATTCCGGGATCGTGCAATGGACCAAAGACGGCCTCGCCCTGGGGATGGGGCAGGGGCTCAAAGGTACCTGGCCTGCGTGCACCAGGCTCCCTGCGTGCACGGAGCATCCCACGCGTGGCAGGGATCCTGTGGGCACCGGGGATCCCGTGGGCATCGGGGATCCCATGGGCACCAGGGATGCCACGCCTGCCAGGGACCCAACCCGTGCCAGGGATCCCACACATCCCAGGGATCCTGCGGGCACCAGGGATCCCACATGTGCTAAGGATCCCATGGGCACCAGGGATCCCATGCGTGCCAGGGATCCCGTGGGCACCAGGGATCCCACATGTGCCAGGGATCCCATGGAAACCAGGGATCCCACATGTGCCAGGGATCCCACACGTGCCAGGGATCCTGTGGGCACCAGGGATCCCACGCATGCCAGGGATCCCACATGTGCCAGGGATCCCACACATGACAGGGATTCCATGGGCGCTGGGGATCCCATGTGTGCCAGGTATCCCATGCGTACCAGGGATCCTGTGGGCACCGGGGATCCCACACGTGCCAGGGATCCCGTGGGCACCAGGGATCCCACACGTGCCAGGGATCCCGTGGGCACTGGCGATCCCACGCGTGCCAGGGATCCCCGAGGCACTGGGGATCCCACACATGCCAGGGATCCCACTCGTGCCAGGGATCCCGTGGGCACCAGGGATCCCACACATGCCAGGGATCCCATGGGCACTGGCGATCCCACGCGTGCCAGGGATCCCCTAGGCACTGGGGGATCCCACACATGCCAGGGATCCCACGCGTGCCAGGGATCCTGTGGGCACTGGGGATCCCATGTGTGCCAGGGATCCCACACGTGCCAGGGATCCCGTGGGCACTGGCGATCCCACGTGTGCCAGGGATCCCCTAGGCACTGGGGATCCCACACATGCCAGGGATCCCACGCGTGCCAGGGATCCCGTGGGCACCGGGGATCCCATGTGTGCCAGGGATCCCACACATGCCAGGAATCCCATGGGCACCAGGGATCCCATGGGCACCAGGGATCCCACACGTGCCAAGGATCCCATGTGTGCCAGGTATCCCCTGGGCACCAGGTATCCCCTGGGCACTGGGGATCCCACGCATGCCAGGGATCCCACACGTGCCAGGGATCCCGTGGGCACCGGGGATCCCATGTGTGCCAGGGATCCCACACGTGCCAGGGATCCCATGGGCACCGGGGATCCCACGTGTGCCAGGGATCCCACGCATGCCAGGGATCCCATGGGCACCAGGGATCCCACGCATGCCAGGGATCCCGTGGGCACCGGGGATCCCACGTGTGCCAGGGATCCCACGCATGCCAGGGATCCCATGGGCACCAGGGATCCCACGCGTGCCAGGGATCCGACGTGTGCCAGGGATCCCACGCATGCCAGGGATCCCACGGGTGCCAGGGATCCTCACTGGGGCTGGCACCGGGCACAGGCTCTGCCCTGGCTGTACCCAAACTGGAGCTGCTTCTCCAGGAACAGGGGGTTCCCTCCCTCCCCCAGCCTCTCCTCCCTGAAAAAGAGGCCCAGGAGAATTCGGGTGCTCCCCATCCCCTCCGTGCTGAACCCCCCTCCGCCCCGCCCTGTCCCCGCAGCCTGGCCGCGTTACCGCATCGTGGGCACGGCCGACTCGGGCCAGTACAACCTGGAGATCACCGACGCCGAGCTCTCCGATGACGCCGTGTACGAGTGCCAGGCCACCGAGGCCGCGCTGCGGTCCCGCCGCGCCAAGCTCACCGTGCTGAGTAAGGAGCCAGCCCCCACCCCCAAACCCCGCATCCCCCCTAAACCCCTCATCCCCCCCAAACCCCGCATCCCCCCCAAACCCCGCGGCCCCTCCAAACCCCACGGCCCCCCGAGCCCCTCGCAGGCGCGGGAAAGGCTGGCACTGCCTGCGCTGCCGCCCTCCCCCTTCCCTCCAGCAGCCTGGATGTGCCATTATCTTTAATGCCTTAATCTATATTCACGCCGTGGCTGAGTTACGGGACCTACGAGTGCAGTAACTTTGATTTCCCTGACTTTTGTGTCTTGTAAAAAAAAAAAAAAAAAAAAAAAAAAAAAATGAGGAAAGAAGATGCCGGAGCTGCAGCGGAAATGTTGCACGAATGGGGTTTTGGGGTGGATTTCTTGCTTTTCTTAATTTTTTATTTTTTTTTTTTCCCTCTTTCTCCTTCTTCCCCTGGCATTGAAATTCCCATTAGAAAGACGGGAGATAAAAGGCGCGCGAGCGGGAGATGTGGCTGGGGTACTGAGCAGCGTGGCTCCCTGTGCCACAGCTGCTGGAGCATCTCCCTGCACCCCCAGGCAGGGACGGTCCCCGGGGACCCCCCCCCAGCCCAAAGGGGCCAGGTTTGGCCTGGGGGGGGGCTGTAAGCGGATGGGAACAGCCCTGCCCCGGGGTCTTTGGGGTGGCACTGCCAAGGCTGGGGGTACCCAGGGTCTCCTCCATCCCCTGTCAAGCAGAGTGGGGTCCCCTTGCATCCTCTGCCCAGGGTGGGGGGCAGCTGGGGCAGGGGAGGGGTGGTCCCTGGGCACAGGGATCCCCAGGCAACGGGGTCCCCAGACAGAGAGGTCCCTGGGCATGGAAGTCCTGGGGCAGAGGAGGCTCCGGGGGGGATTGGGGTCCCCAGGCAGGGGGTTCTCCAGGAAGGGGGGTCCCCTGAGAGAGCTCCCCAGGCAGGGGGGTCCCTGGGCATGGAGTTCCCTGGGCATGGGGGTCCCCAGAAAGAATGGTTCCCAGGCAAGAGGGTCCCTGGGCAGAGGAGGCTCCTGGGGGTATTGGGGTCCCCAGGCAGGGGTGTCCCTGGGCAGAGGAGGCTCCTGGGGGTATTGGGGTCCCCAGGCAGGGGGGGACCCTCCTTCTCTGCCCACCCTACTACCACCAGACACCCCGTCCCCATTTCCATCATCACCAGCTCCCCGGGGGCGGTTCACAAACGCCCGAGGCCGTTCCACCGCATCCATCTCCGCATGCGCGGCACGAACATCCCCCCCCACCCCGAGCCCCCCCTCTCCAAGCCCCCCCCCACCCACACACACACATCGGGGACCCCCCCCAGGCCAAGTCACCGCGCTGGGCTCGTGCCTCCTGCCCCGGCTTCTGCCGGCACGGGGTTCCCTTCCCGATGCCAACCGGCGCCTTTCCCTCTCCCCATGAACCAAACTCTGATAAATCAGTAACGGGGCTTCAGCTCCTGATCAAACCGGGGATTTACACCCAGGCGGTGCCGGCACGGCGGACGCTGGTGCCGTCAAACGCTGCGAGGAGGAGGTCTGCCTCCTCTGCCCGTAATCGCTCTCCCTTTATCAAAACCGCGTTGGTTTTTTGGCAGGGAGCGGGGTCTGCCTGTCCCCAAGCAGCCAGCACCCACCCAGTGTCCCCCCTCTCCTCCTCCCCGCCCCCCCCCCCCCCCCTGCAGTCCCCCCCGAGGACCCCACCATCGACGGAGCCCCCGAGATCTTGCTGCGGGCGGGGACGCCGTACAACCTGACCTGCCGGGCACGCAGCGCCAAACCGGCGGCCACCATCGTCTGGTACCGGGACGGGCTCCAGCAGGACGGAGCCATCACCAGCACGGTACTGGGACCCACCGGGACCCACCGGGACCCCCGCGTCCATCCCCTCCGCCCCCCGTGCCTCAGCGCGGCGCTGGGAGCCAACGGGGACCGTCCCCTCTCACTGGCAGGAGGTGTTGGCCGACGGCAAGCGGGAGACGACCACCAGCCAGCTGGCCATCAACCCCACCGACCTTGACATTGGGCGGGTGTTCTCCTGCCGCAGCACCAACGATGCCATCCCGGCGGGCAAGGAGACCTTCGTCAAGCTCAACGTGCACCGTGAGTCGGTGCCGGGGGCGGAAGGGATGATCCTGGCGTGGGGGGGGTGGCGTGGGGGTGCAGAGGGGGCAGGGAGCCAGGGACAGGTTCTGGGGGTACCTGGGATTTGCGGGGTGCCAGGTTGGAGGCCGGGCCGGGAGTTCGTGGTGAACACCGACCTCCAGTGGCTGCTGTGGGAAGGTTCTGCCCTGCTGGGACTCGGCACCCACGGCCAGCACCCACGATGGGCGAGGATGCTGGGTACCCACGGCAGGAGGGGATGCTGGGCACCCATGGCAAGCACCCACACTGGGAAGGGATGTAGAGCACCCACAGTGGGCACCGACACTGGGAAGGGATGCTGGGCACCCACAGTGAGCACCCACACTGGGAAGGGATGCTGGGCACCCACAGTGAGCACCCACACTGGGAAGGGATGCTGGGCACCCACAGTGAGCACCCACACTGGGAAGGGATGCTGGGCACCCACAGTGAGCACCCACACTGGGAAGGGATGCTGGGCACCCACAGTGAGCACCCACACTAGACAGGGATGCAGAGCACCCACAGTGAGCACCCACACGGGGAAGGGATGCTGGGCACCCACAGTGAGCACCCACACTGGGAAGGGATGCTGGGCACCCACAGTGAGCACCCACACGGGGAAGGGATGCTGGGCACCCACAGTGAGCACCCACACGGGGAAGGGATGCTGGGCACCCACAGTGAGCACCCACACTGGGAAGGGATGCTGGGCACCCACAGTGAGCACCCACACTGGGAAGGGATGCTGGGCACCCACAGTGAGCACCCACACTGGGAAGGGATGCAGAGCACCCACAGTGAGCACCCATACTAGACAGGGATGCAGAGCACCCACAGTGAGCACCCACACTGGGAAAGGATGCTGGGCACCCACAGTGAGCACCCACACTGGGAAGGGATGCTGGGCACCCACAGTGAGCACCCACACTGGGAAGGGATGCTGGGCACCCACAGTGAGCACCCACACTGGGAAAGGATGCTGGGCACCCACAGTGAGCACCCACACTGGACAGGGATGCTGGGCACCCACAGTGAGCACCCACACTGGGAAGGGATGCTGGGCACCCACAGTGAGCACCCACACTGGGAAGGGATGCTGGGCACCCACACCATGCCATCAGAGCTTTTGGGATTTCCCCCCCCAGCACGGGCCGTGCCCTGGGTGGCAGCGTGGGGAGGGGGCACTGGAGGAGCCAGGCAGCAGGATTGTCCCTTCATCTTCTCTCCCTCTGCCACGCCGAGCCCTGTCCCAGCGCCAGTGACAGTTCCGTCTGTCCCCCCCCTCCCCTGCAGATCCCCCGACTGTCACCCTGTCCATCCAGCCCCAGACGGTGCAGGAGGGCGAGAGGGTCGTGTTCACCTGCATGGCGACCGCCAACCCCGAGATCAAAGGCTACAGGTGAGGGTCCCACGGGACCCCAGGAGGTCCCTCCCCAACCTCCTGGCTTGGCTTCGGCATCATATGGTGATTGGGGGGGGGGGGGGAGGGGGGAGGGAGGTAAAACAGGGCCCTGGGGGTCCCGCGTGCCCCCTGAATGTGCCCGCCTTGCGTCTCTGCCCCCTGCCCTCCCCCCCCCCCCCCCTTCCCAGGTGGGCCAAGGGGGGGGTGATCATCGAGGAGGCCAAGGAGAACAAGTACGACACGCAGGTGGATTACACCTTCTTCACGGAGCCAGTCTCCTGCGAGGTGCACAACGACATCGGCAGCACCAACGTCAGCACGCTGGTGGATGTGCACTGTGAGTGGAAACCAAACCCACCCCCCCCCAGCACCCCCAAGCTGCTCTGCGTGCGTTGTGTGTGTGTGTGTGTGTCCCAGCCTCTCACCCTCTCCCTCCATCTCTCCAGTTGCCCCCCGGATCGTGGTGGACCCCAAACCCACCATCACGGATATCGGCTCCGACGTGACGCTGACGTGCGTGTGGTCCGGCAACCCGCCGCTGACCCTCACCTGGACCAAAAAAGAGTCCAACATGGTAGGGGGGCTGGCGGCCGAGATGGCGGGGGGGGGGGGGTGGTCTGAGGGCCTCTGGGCCCCCTCCTTCATGCCCCACGGCGCTTGGACCCACCCAGGTCCTGAGCAACAGCAACCAGCTGTACCTGAAGTCCGTCACGCAAGCCGACGCGGGGCAGTACGTCTGCAAAGCCATCGTCCCCCGCATCGGCGTGGGCGAGCGCGAGGTCACGCTCTTCGTCAACGGTGAGTGTGTGTGTGTGTGTGTGTGTGTGTGTGTGTGTGTGTGTGTCCAAGGAGCAGCACCAGCCCCCCCCCCCCCCCACGCCCCCCCCCACTCCATCCAGAACACGGATGGATCACCCGCCTGTCACAGTCACCGTCACCTGCCCGTAACCAGCGGTGCCTGCAGCACGGTGTGTCCCCATCTCTCTCTGGGATTTCAGTCAAGCCCCCCACCCCGCCCCAACTTTCCTCCCCCTCCCCCCCCCCCCCCTCACCTTCCGCAGGACCCCCCATCATCTCGAGCGAGGCGGTGCAGTACGCCGTGCGCGGGGACCGCGGCAAGGTGGAGTGTTTCATCGGCAGCACGCCGCCGCCGGACCGCATCGTGAGTGCCGCGGCGGGGCTGGGGGGTGCTGGGGGGGGGGGGGGGGGGGGCAGTTCTGGGGACAACGCTGAGCTGTGGGTGCTGACACAGCCCCCCCTCTTCCCCCCCCCCCCCTCCCCCCCCCCCCAACTAAACGGCGGGGCCAGGCGTGGGCCTGGAAGGAGAACATTTTGGAGGCAGGGACGCTGGAGCGGTACACGGTGGAGCGGACTAACACGGGCAGCGGGGTCCTCTCCACCCTCACCATCAACAACGTCATGGACGCCGATTTCCAGACCCGCTACAACTGCACGGCCTGGAACAGCTTCGGGCCGGGAACTGCCATCATCCAGCTGGAGGAAAAAGGTAACGCCGACACGGCCCCGCGGCCCCCCGGGGAGCCCGGCGAGGCCCCGGGGCTTCGGCGAGGGCAAGCGCCCTCCTGCCGCCGTCACCTCCTGGCAGTGGCCCTGTCCCCTGTCCCCAGCTAACGTCTCCCCGTCTCCTGTAGAAGTTTTGCCCGTGGGCATCATCGCCGGTGCCACCATCGGGGCCAGCATCCTCGTCATCAGCTTCCTCGTCGCGCTCGCCTGCTTCCTTTACCGGCGCCGGAAAGGAAGTGAGTGGGGGCCGCGGGGGGGTCTGCGGCCACGGCTGAGGGGACTGGGGGTGCCACCCACGGTGGGGGGGGTGGGGGGGTGCTGCTGGCGACCACCTCCATCCCCGGTCCCCCGTGTCCCCAGGCCGCAAGGATGTCACCCTGCGCAAGCTGGACATCAAGGTGGAGACGGTGAACAGGGAGCCCCTGACACTGCACGCGGACCGCGAGGAGGACACGGCCAGCGTCTCCACGGCCACCCGTGTCATGAAGGCCATCTACTCGGTAAGGGACACCCCACGTCGAGGGGGGTCACCCCTGCGGCTTCCTTCCCCGCCCCGTGCTGGGACGGTTGGGCCCGTGGAGGAATGAGCCCGTCTCTTCCCCACCGTCTTCTGCAGTCGTTCAAGGATGACGTGGACTTGAAGCAGGACCTTCGCTGTGACACCATCGACACCCGTGAGGAATATGAGCTCAAGGTCTGGTTTTGTCCCGTGGGGTGTGGAAGAGGGGCAGGTCCTCGCTTTGTCCCGTGGGGTGTGGAAGAGGGGCAGGTCCTCGTTTTGTCCCATGGGATGTGGAAGAGGGGCACGTCCCGGATTTGTCCCATGAGGTGTAGAGGAGGAGCAGATCCTGGTTTTGTCCCATGGGATGTGGAAGAGGGGCAGGTCCAGGTTTTGTCCCGTGGGGTGTGAAAGAGGGGCAGGTCCCGGTTTTGTCCCGTGGGGTGTGAAAGAGGGGCAGGTGCCGGTTTTGTCCCGTGGAATGTGGAAGAGGAGCAGGTCCAGGTTTTGTCCCGTGGGGTGTGAAAGAGGGGCAGGTGCCGGTTTTGTCCCGTGGGATGTGAAAGAGGGGCAGGTCCCGGTTTTGTCCCGTGGGGTGTGAAAGAGGGGCAGGTGCCGGTTTTGTCCCGTGGAATGTGGAAGAGGAGCAGGTCCAGGTTTTGTCCCGTGGGGTGTGAAAGAGGGGCACGTCCCGGATTTGTCCCATGAGGTGTAGAGGAGGAGCAGATCCTGGTTTTGTCCCGTGGGATGTGGAAGAGGGGCAGGTCCAGGTTTTGTCCCGTGGGGTGTGAAAGAGGGGCAGGTCCCGGTTTTGTCCCGTGGGGTGTGAAAGAGGGGCAGGTCCAGGTTTTATCCCGTGGGACGTGGAAGAGGAGCAGGTCCCGGTTTTGTCCCGTGGGGTGTGAAAGAGGGACAGTTCCTGGTTTTGTCCCGTGGGACGTGGAAGAGGAGCAGGTCCCGGTTTTGTCCCGTGGGATGTAGGAGAGGAGCAGGTCCCGGTTTTGTCCCAGGTCGGGTGGCTGCAGGACACTCAGCAGAGGAGAAGGGCCGGCACTCGTCCCTCCTCTCCCTGCAGAGCCCAATCCCAGCCGGGCTCAGCCCATCCCTCCCCACACTTCCCCCCATTTCCTCGCAGGACCCCACCAACGGCTACTACAACGTCCGCGCCCACGAGGATCGCCCGTCCTCTCGCACCGTCCTCTACGCCGACTACCGCAACCCCGGCCCGGGCCGCTACGACACCCGCCCGCCCTCCCGCCTCTCCCACTCCAGCGGTTACGCTCAGCTCAACACCTACAGCCGTGGCCCCACGTCCGACTACACCACCGAAACGGCTCCGGGTCCCGGCCCCGCTCCCGGCACGGCAGGCGGCGAGACGGCAAGCCAGCTTTCTTACGAGAACTACGGGGGTCACGCCGCTTTCCCGGCCGGCGCCGGTTATACCACCTACCGCCTGGGGTACGGGCAGCCCCCCAGCTTGGAACGGGCGCCCTACGACGCCTACGACCCCATGGGCAAGTACGCCAGTGCCACCCGTTTCTCTTACACCTCCCAGCACTCGGACTACGGGCAGCGCTTCCAGCAGCGGATGCAGACGCACGTCTAGGGCGGGCGGGGGCTGGCGGGCGGCGCCGAAGCCCGGGGAGGGGACACACACACACACACACACACACAAAGGCAGCGGGGGTCCACAGGTACCTCACGACTGTCCCCTGATATTCAGGGGCTCATCCTGACCCTCCTGCCCCGCTTCTCCTCCGGCGGCTGGACTCCACGCGCCGTGCCACACACACCCCCACCCCCCCCCCTTCACAACCCGCCGCCATCCCGGGGTTTGCTGGCGGCGGGGATGAGCCGCCGAGTCTTTTCGAGCTTCCACTCATTCAGTTCTTTCTTTTCGGTACCTTCCCGGAGGAGGGAGAAGATTGGGGGGGCATCCTCCCCGCTATGCCCACCCCCGTGTCCGTCCCCGTCCCCGTGTCCCCCCCCCCCATCTCACCCAGACTCAGCGGGTGCGTGCGGGTCCGCGCGGCTGTCGGGGCCGGCTCTGCAGCCCCCGCTGCCCCGCAGCCCCCTTCCCCGAGTTCTGTGGGGCCGGATCCTTCCCCGAGTTCTGTGGGGCCGGATCATTCCTCGAGTTCTGTGGGGCCGGATCCTTCCCCGAGTTCTGTGGGGCCGGATCCTTCCCCAAGTTCTGTGGGGCCGGATCCTTCCCCGAGTTCTGTGGGGCCAGATCCTTCCCCGAGTTCTGTGGGGCTGGATCCTTCCCCATGTTCTGTGGGGCCAGATCCTTCCCCGATGGGTCCCCAGCACCCCCGAGCCAGCACCCGCCTCACCCTCCTCTGCAGGAGCGAGGGGCTGCACACGAGCTGCCCCCCCCAGAAACTCCTCCGCCCCCCATCCCATCCAGAGCCCAAAGTGGGGGAGCAGGGAGGTGCTGTATGTGTGTATATCCATGTACATACATATATGCAATGCCCCGTTTCTGGGTTTATCCAAAAAAGCCCCGTCCCAGCCCATTTCCATTCCCTGTGCCTTGATTTCGGAGACAGCCCCCCCCCCCCCCCCCAACCTTGGGGCCGGCTCCCCCCTTCCCCATCCATCCCACCTACCAACAGCCCCCCCCCCCCCCGCCCCACTCAGAGCCGCGAGCAGGGGGTGCCCCGGGGGCCCCAGAGAGCTCAGAGCAGCCGACCCCCCCCCCCCCGGCGTGTGTCCCCCCCCCCCTTCCAACACGCACACTCGTACCTGTGGGACAGGCAGCTGTGAGTTTCCACCCCAAACAACACCCCAAACAACACCCGGTTGGGCCGGCCGGTTCTGTTCCACCACCCCCACTGCCACTGGCCGATGTGGGGGTGCACCGGGGTGGGGGGGGGGGTGGGGGGTCCCTCTTCTGAATGTATATAAAGGTGTATATAGGGTGTAAGCACCCTCCCAGCAAACATCACCACTCCGCAACCGGCCCCCCCCCCCCCAGGCTTTGGCACATGTTCTGAGCCGCAGCGAAGCAAACCAGTGAGGAGCGAGAGCTCGGCTGGTCCCCCAGCTCCAGGGACTGGGGTGATGGCCCCCCCCCCCCCCCCCCCTCCCGATTTCGCTGCCTGTAGCAATGGGGGTGGCCCCAATTCTGCTCACCCAGCCACCGGCTCAGGAGCTGGGGTTGGGGAGGGGGGGGACACACACTGACACACTTGCCAGGGTGCGGTGGGTTTTGGCTGGGGTCACCTCATTGCCCAAAGCTGTCCCTGTGATATACCCCACCCCCCCCCCGGCATTAGGTACGAAATACCTTCCCCCCCCCTTGGGGTTTTCCCTAGGGGAGGGACATGCTCTGCGGTCCCCAGCCCGCTGAGCACCCCGCTCCCAGCCACCGACGGAGCCCCAGCCCGGCGGGCTGGATCCGGCCCTGGCGCGAGCAGGTACGATTTTGGGGAAGGGGTTGCCAGAGCCCTACAGCCCCAGTGGCACGCCTGGAGACTAGGGGGGGGGGGGGGGGGGGGGGGAGAACCCCACCTTTTTTCCCCCTCAACCCCCCCCAAAAAGGTACTATCAGGATGGGCCAAACCCTGGAAGGTGCTGAGCCCGCGCCCAGCCTGAGCCTCCGACTGCAGGACTGCGTGCCATTTCTCACAATGGTGCCTGATTTAAGCCCGCCCCCCCCCCCCCCCCCAAAAAAATCCTCCTCCATACCTCTTTTTCTTTTCCACCCCACACCCCCTACCCCCCCCCAAGGGGACAGCCCCGTTTTGGGGGGCTCCCACCCCAGGTGCTGCACACACACACCCCCCCCCCATCGATAGCAATAGCCAGCGCGGCAGCGCGGGACGGGCGTCCTGCCCCAGCCACCCCCGGGTGCCGTCAGTCGAAGCCGAAGCTTTAAATTAAAATTCCCCCCTGGGGCAGGGGGGGGGGCAAATGGGGACACCCCCCCCCCCCCAAGGCCACGGCCAAGCCCCCCAGCACCGGGCGAGGGGGTCCCTTCCTTAGCACAGGCTGTTTAGACCCCTAGAGACACGTATCTGTGATCCCCCCACCCGGCCCCAACCTCCCATTTTTTTATTTTTCATTTTCCTTTTTTTTTTTTTAAATATTATGTACTATATTTTTAGTCTTAAACACGATATATTATATATATTTAATTTTTTTATATATATATATAAATATAAATGTTAAAAAAAAAACGAGCTGCAGGTCACCTTTGTTCTGTGGGAACGTTGTGACCGGGTGGGCACGGGTGACCCCCCCACCATGGGACAGAGTGGCTGGGGGGGGGGGGGGTACCAGCCAGCAGTGCTGGGGACATGGGTGCTATGAGCTCCTTCGCCGTGCCCAGCACAGGACAACACATGGACCTCGGGTGACATTTCCACCAGCTCCTGGCCTCCGTGGGAGCACAGGGTGGTGGGCTGGGGGGGGGTCCACTGGCCCTGCAGACCCCAACTAAATGAGGGGCAGGATGCGCGCCGGGCTCCGCTGACCTATTTTGCCAAAGCTTTTAAGCAGAGCTGATGCCAGGAGGCGCAGGGGAGGTTTGCCAGCCCCTCCACACCCAGCCTGGCTTTATTTTATATATATTTTTTTCTTTTTTTTTTTTCTCTCCCCCAGAACACCCTGCAAACAGGCTCGCTTAACGATTTTGTTTCCCCCACAAATGTAGCCTATTACTCGGCGTGTTTCCACGCCTGGTTTATTATGCATGAACCAGGCAATTTGCCTGCTGCTCCTAGGGACCCATCTTTAAAACAAAAAAAAAAAAAAAAAAAAAAAAAAAGGTGCTTTGTCATTCTTAATGGCTTTCGCTGGAGCGAGGAGCAGGCAGATGGAACCACAGATAGACGGATGGATGGACACGGAGGAAGGGAAGAGACATTAAGTTTCTTCGCCGTCTATAACCCCTCGAACTCAAACTGCGCCAGGCGGCTTCAAAGCGATCGGCTCAGCTCTGAAATCTAAGCCCCGGAGGTGTCTCCACCTTGCTAAAGCAGCAGCCTCCTTTCCTCAGGAAACAAATCTCCCCTCCTCGTCAGCCGGCTAATTTATTCCCGAGATGTATTCTAATTTATTCCCCAGGACGGCGGCAGGCTCACCGCCTCCTCGCAGAAATCTCTCGCCTCGTTCTTCCTCCCGCTCCCCTTCCCTCACGGCCTCGCAGAGGCTGCAGCCTTTGAGGGGTGTGGGATTTGGGATGGGTTGGGCGATTTTATTTCTCTTCCACCCCCGCGTGCCCCGTTCTCCCCTCGATGCGGCAGGAGGGGAACGCGCCTGCCAAAATTTGGGGGTGCAAGTGAACCCCCCCCCTGTGTTTTGAGGGGGGAAGAGGACTCCCCCTCTCAGTGAATAACACTCCCAGGATTTTCTCCAAAATCCACCCAGTGCCAGCAAAAACTTTACCGGGGCCACTGGACAGCCACAATTGAACTCCCGAGTCACCCTGACAGCTGCAGCAGGTTAAAAAATAAAAATTAAACGAAGATTCCCTCAAGAAAACTGTAATTTGTCTCTCAGAGCCCAGTGCCCGATAATAACACGCTGTAACCAAAGAGATATGATTCCCGTCCCTTCCCTCATCGCTGACTGTCATGCTGGAATTTAATCTTTCAACCCTCTGTTACCCAGGCTGGTGATAAAATGTAATTTGATTTTGCTCCCAATACATCACAAGCTCCTGGAAAGCGAAAGAAAAAGGCAGAGGGAGGATTGAGGTTCCCTGCATTTGCGTGGCAGGATGGAGAAGCGGGAGTGACTTCCAGTGCCCAGCTGGGCACCGGCAGCCGCCCCTGGAACGGGCTGACAGGAGGGAGCTGCCTCCGTGCCTCAGTTTCCCCACCCGCTTCTGGGAATCTCGCAGGGCCCTGTCAGCCCACGGGCCTGCGCCGGGCCGGACGGCAGCTCTGAGGGCTCAGATCCCCTTGGCTTAGCACCAGGCCTCAGCCCTCAAAGACTTCGGCTTTACCACTTCAGGGCAACCGCCCTGCCTCTCCCGAGCTGCCCCAGGCTCTTTACCCCGGGCCCTTCCCCCTCAGGCGCGCCCCGCCGCAGCGCATCCCCCCCGCGCTCCTGCCCCGGCCCGCGCGGGCACTGAGGGCCGCGTTGCGCAGCGGGGCTATTTATACCCCCCAGAAACCCCCGCGAGATTTGGGCGGTGCCGCCGGGTGAGAACGAGGCGCGGGGCGGGGCTTGCTGCCCGCTTCGTGCGTCATTGGTCGGCGCCCGGCGGCAGGCGGGCGTTATGGGGAGGGGGGCGGGGGGTCTCGGGGAACTGGGGGGAACTGGGAGAGAACTGGGGGTCCGCCGGAGCCGGGGGATAACTGGGGGAGAGCTGGGGGGTCCCCGGGAGCTGGGGGGGAGCTGGGGGTCCCAGGGAAGTGGGTGGGAACTGGGAAGGAACTGGGGGTCCCCGGGAGCCGGGGGGCTAACTGGGGGAGAGCTGGGGGGGTCCCCGGGAGCTGGGGGGCAGCTGGGGGAGAGCTGGGGGGTCCCCGGCAGCTGGGGGGGAGCTGGGGGTCCCAGGGAAGTGGGTGGGAACTGGGAAGGAACTGGGGGTCCCCGGGAGCCGGGGGGGTAACTGGGGGAGAGCTGGGGGGGTCCCCGGGAGCTGGGGGGTCACGGGGAGCTGGGGGGGAGCTGGGGGTCCCCGGGAGCCGGGGGGGTAACTGGGGGAGAGCTGGGGGGTCCCCGGGAGCTGGGGGTCCCAGGGAACTGGGAAGGAACTGGGGGTCCCCGGGAGCCGGGGGGGTCCCCGGGAGATGGGGGGGAGCTGGGTGTCCCAGGGAACTGGGAAGGAACTGGGGGTCACCAGGAGCCGGGGGGGTAACTGGGGGAGAGCGGGGGGGTCCCTGGGAGCTGGGGGGAACTGGGAGAGATCTGGGGGTCCCTGGGAGCCGCGGGAGATCTGGGATGAGCCAGGGGGGGAACTGGGAAGGAACTGGGGGTCCCCGGGAGCCAGGGGGGTAACTGGGGGAGAGCGGGGGGGGTCCCCGGGAGCTGGGGGGGAGCTGGGGGTCCCAGGGAACTGGGAAGGAACTGGGGGTCCCCGGGAGCCGGGGGGGTAACTGGGGGAGAGCAGGGGGGTCCCTGGGAGCTGGGGGGGACTGGGAGGGATCTGGGGGTCCCGGGGGTCGGAGCAGAGGGTGTCAGGATGGGGAGGGCTGGGGGTGCTGGGGCCCAGAGCTGTGGGGGGGCCCAGGGTTGGGGCCTGAGCTTGAGAGTTCTGGGGCACCCCAAAGTGCGGGGGCGGGGGGGGGATCCTCTACCCCCAGCGCCCTGTTCAGCCCCTTGGTTGGGGGGCAGCAGCCAGCGCTGGCTGCTGTGGGCAGGGGGCTCCCGTCCCCCCCCCCCCCCCCCCCCCCAATTCCAGCAGCGCCTGGGCCTGAGCCCGCAGGGAGCGGGGACAGGACGGGGTTTGCCGGGCGCCGCGGGGAAGATGTTGCTGCCAAAGTGCTAAATGGTGTTACTGCTGGCCTGCGCCGTGCCAGGGCAGATCTCTACCCTAAACCGGCAGTGATAAATAATAAAACTGGGTTTCTCTGCTCCCTGCCTTCTCAGCCGCCGTTTCTGCAGCCGTGGCCCATTTCGCCCCGTGCGGGAATTACTCACAGCAGCCCTCGGTGCTTTAACCGCCTCACAAACCTTTTTTCAAAGAGCAAAAGGGTCTTGTCTGCCATGAGTTCGGCCGCCTCTGCCCCTCGCAGAGAGTCAAAATCAAGACCCAACCCTGACGCTGGCAGGTTGAGCTCAGGCTGTGGCCGTGGGGGGCACAGGCACCCCGGTTTGTGTTACCAGCTGAGCCCTTCCTGGTTTTAAATAGTTTTTCGGTCGCTGGCGTGTGCTGGAGGGAAACGGGAGCTGGCACTGGCATTGCTGAGGGGGTGGTCGGTGCCCCCCCAGCACTGTGCTGGCCCGGGGTTCCTCCTTCCCGTGCTTCAGGGTGCGAGATGGCACCACCAGGGGTCAGTTGTGGGGGTGCGGGGGGGGTGAGACCCCAACCCTGGGACGGGGCGGCTGCAGCTGGGGTACGGTGTGAAACGGGGGCTGGAAGCAAGGCCCATGGGACCTGCAAGATCTCTAAAATTACGTAGTTTCTGTCTGCGGGGGATGAAGAGTAGCTGTGACTGTCACTGGGTCCTTTCCTGAGGCCACACTTCCCTCTGCTGGAAGGCCACACAGGTGCAGCCTTCTCCATCCAGCAGATCTTTACTGGGAGCAGTGGGGAAGCCCCCCCCCCCCAAACCCCTCCATCCTCAGGTTGTCACCTGCAGGGAGAAAAAACAACCGTGTGCTGCTGCTGTGACAGCAATGGGGACAAAGAGAAGTGGGTTCTGATGCTCAGGATGGCCCTTGCTGCCAAGCTTTTGGGGAGAGGGGGTGACACCAGCTGGCACCCCCAGAGCCGTGGGGGTCCCCCAGTTTTGGTGCAGGGATGTCACTTCTCAGCCTGAGTCACTGGTCCCTCCTTCCCCACCTGGCAGGGGCTGTGCCTGGGGGGCACGGTGGCAGGGTGGGGGGGTGCCCACGCAGGTGACAACGCAGTGTCCCCTCCTCGTCACCCCAACCCTGCTAACGCGGGGACAGCAGCGCAGGCCACGAGGCAGGAGGGGAAGGAAAGGCGGGTGGAGCTGGGCGAGTTGTGAAATCATGGGAGGGGGTGAATGAGGAACACCCCCCCCCCCGGCTTTGCATTTTCATTTGCCGCCGCGTGAGAAGGCGGCGAGGGTCGAGGATGGGTGGGTGCCACCCAGCTCCTCCTGCCCCAGCCGTCACATCCCCTGCTGCGGGGGGGGTTTGGGGTCCCTCATCACTCTGTGTCCGCAACCCTGGGGTGAAGGATGGGGCAACGGGCTCCTGCGACCTCCCATCTCTTCTGCACCCTGTTTTCCTGATGCTCAGTTACCCCAAGCCTGGGCACAGCCCTGGGGGTGTCCGCAGCCTCCTGTCCCCAGCTCTGCCCCCCAACAAGACAGCGAGGGGCATCGAGTGGAGCTTTTCAGCCGGTGTCACCGCCCAAGTGGCAGAATTTGGCCCCAGTGGCTTTGAGCATCCTGACCCTGAGGACCAGTTCAAGGACCAGCTGGAGACTCTCAACAAGACAGCGCTGAAGATCGGAGGGGGGGGGGTGTCCTGGAGCGGGGTGACAGTGGGGTGCATGGAGCTCGGATTAAACTGCACCCGATGCTGGCGGAGGATCAGCTCTTCAACCTCTCCGTCTCCAGTGGGTGGCTGCAATGCGGGGGCAGGGGGGGGATGCAGATTGCAGAAATTCTTTTATTTTGGCACTAAATACCAGCGCGCCTGGCCCCTCTGCTAGAGCAGTCGGGATGTTCCCAGCCCTGAGAACAGACTCGCCCCCGTGTCTCCTCCCTGCTCCAGTGATTTACGGTCACAGCGAGCTGAGCGCTCAGCAAATTCTGTGGTTTTCCTTGTTGTGAACAAGCACCGTCCCTGTCGCCTCCCCAGGGCTCAGCACCGCTCAGCATCGGCCGCGCCGGGGCCCTGCTCTCCCCCCCCCGATGTGACACGCAGGCGGTCGCTGCCCCTCGCCCATCAAACAGCAGCTCCCGAGCCCAGACCAGAGGCAGCCCCGAGCTCCCCGTCCCATTTCCCAACCTCCCAGCTCCAGCACGCTGTGGCCACGCTGGGCTTGGGCTAATCAGCTCTAGTAGCCGGCTGCGACGTGGGGCACAGAGCTCATCCTCATGGCTCACTGGGCCACATCCCAGCTGCCTCTCGCTTGCCCCCCTGACCCCTCCAGGACAGGAGGGAAGCGGGGGGGATCCGCTTTTGCTGGTGTGTGTAATCCCCTCCCGTTGCAGAGCGGCTGCCGGACCCCAAAATCCAGAGCTGTCCGCGCTTGGGGCCACCTCATGCCACGTACCCAGTGGGACTGGAGGCACCATCACGCAGAGGAAACCCCTGTGGGGAAAGGGGGGGTGTTGGGGTGCTCCATGTTGGGGTGCAGCCCGGCTGCCCCAACACCACCCTCAGCTGCAGGGTCTGGCATGGAGAGGAGCTGATCCACAGGCCTGGCTAGCGTGTGCTGGAGCGGAGGTGAAGGCAGCATGGGGGGATCAGAGGGAGCAGGAGGGTCTTGGGGGGTCTCCGAGTACCTCCAGGCACCCACGAGCTGCCCCCTGCCCTGCAAAGGGCTGTTTTGGCAGCCGGGTGTCCCCCCACCGCGGCCCTTTCCCCATCGCAGGGGACGGCGTCAGGCCTGGCTGCCGCACTGGAATTCCCTCAAAATCCTTTTGTGGCACCGACCCCGATGACGAGGGACGTGGTGACGGCTCAGACATCCCTCCCCGCCTCTGCCCGCGCTCCGCTTTGCCCCTTTGCCCCAGCTCCCGGTGCCACGGGGACGTCCCTCGCCATCACATGCCAAGAACCGCAGCCGGTTCCCCCGGCCGGCCGGTCCCAACCGCAGGGACCGGCTCTGGCAGCTGCACGTGCCAGCGGGAATGACGACCTCCGGACCGATCCCGTGTCCCCCAGACACCCCAATGTCCCCGCAGAGAACCGAGCTGGTGGCATTTCACAGCGTGACACCGGGGGAGTGACAGACCCAGCGCCTCTGCTCGGCATTTCCCAAAGTCCTGAGCCAGCGCGCGACGCCTTCAGCCCACCCGGTCAGACGAGCCCCGGCGAGATGCTGCCCGTGTCCCCATCATGCAGGGACAGCAGGGGACATCTGCCACAACACGTCCCAGCCCATGAAAGCCCTCAGTGCCAGCTCGCAGGCAGGAGGATTTGGCAGGAGGAAGCCCCTGCCTTGCACAAGAGCCGGTGTCATCCCCGGCGAGCGCCTGCCGCGGAGCCCTGTCTCGGGATGGTATGGCCTTCGTGCCATCCAACCGCATGGTCCTCCTCTTCCTCGGCTCTCGGAGCACCAGCTGGTTTTCCCCATCAGCTGGAAATTTCAACTCGGCAACTTTCATTTCCCCTCGAGGGATGTGGGAGGAAGTGGCAGCAAGGGGACTGTGTCCAGCCCCTGCTCCCCTCCGCGGGGGGACCCCAACGGGCAGTTTTGGGGCATCCACTGGCCATAAACAGCCCATCTCCCTCCCCACACCAGCCTTGCTTTCCCCAGCCTTTTGAGGATCCTCATTTGAAGGTGCCCCAGGAGAAGGGCTGGAGTTAACAGTCCCTTGGGTGCAGGTTAATGATTTTGCTTGTGGGTGGGGAGCAGCAAATGCCGTCCGCCCCGCTCTGTCCCGCTGCAGAGAGCACAGCCCTGCTGCGGAGGCTGCTTTCCCCCTCCCTGTTTTCCACTTCGAGTTGCTGGAGGTTTTAAATAAAAAATCAGCTTTCTGTGCTGCTAATGGAAAGCGCTTCCTTCCAGCCACAGCCCCCGCAGCAGCTCAAGGCTCTTAAATCAAGGCTGGGAGGGCTTGGGGTGGGGGGGTGGGGGCTTTTCTGCAGCCTTCTGAGGGGGGGGAGGTACGTGAGGGAGCGGGGGGGAGCCCATGGGGATGATTTGGCAGGTCCACAGCTGCCTTGGCACCACCACCCGATATTGCCAGGGCATCTATTCCCCAGGTGTGGCCCCTGTGATTCAACCCAGACCTCGCATCAGCTTGGGGACATCCCCCCTCCTGTGCTGTTTTGCTGTTTTCTGCACCCAAGGGTGCTCGGGTACCCCCGGGAGGAGAGCTAGTGGTGCTCCCCCCACCCAGCTCCAGGATGCTCCTGCTGCCCGGGTTTCCCCAGGGAAACGCTTTCGATCTGGGGAAGCCCCATTTCAACGAGCTTTTGGTCGTGCCCAGGAGCGTGCCAGAGCTGGCAGGGGCCGTGCCCGGGCATCGCCGGCGCTAATCCGGGCACCGAACCGGGCTGACGGATTACCGCGGGGTCGGGAGGTCACCGGCAGCCCCCCCGCCCTGCTGCCTTAGCATCCTCGGCAGCGCGGGTCCCGAGCGCTTCCCCCAGCCATCTAATCATTTCTGGCGAGCTAATTAATAAGCTGGCTGTGCCCCGCGATGCACGGCTTCCTACGGGTTGCAGCAAGAGGCGGCTTTGCTCCTCCCCGCCTCTCCTGCCGCTGACTCTGCCCACTGAGCCGCACGAAGAGCCGAGGAGGAGAAATGGAGGGGGAATTGGCCAGGACCAAAGCCCGGCTGCCCTCGCTGCTCCTGGCGCTGCTCGGCCTCGGGCCAGGTGAGTGCGTGGGCGGCCACCGCCGAGCCCTCGTCCCGCGGGAGCCTCGTGGCAGGGGGCTGGCGGCGGGGTGGGCTGCGGGCAGGGATGCCGACCCCGTCCTGCCTTCTCAATTAGCTGCGGGCTAATTGCAGCCCACCCCCCAGCGCTGCCCCTCCATCCCTCCGCGCTCCCGGCCAGGTATGAGATGGTTTCTGGAACGCTGGCTGGGGGGGCCAGCCTTAACGAGAGGTTTCGTAACGAGGCGGCGGCCGAGCGGCTGCGGGGCCCCCACCTCCATCCCCCCCACGAGGGTCCCTTCGCCCCTAACGTGGCATCTGCCGGGTGCCACTGTCACCCCACGGAGCTCTTTAACCCCCCCCCCCCCCAGGGCCGTGCCAGATCCGACTGTGAAGCGGCTCCTTACGTAAAGCAAGAGCAAGGAATCCCCTTAATTCCCAGCGTGCTAATCCACACATTTAATAATTCCCATAAAACCTCCAATTCCTACAGAAAGCATCTAATAGTACGGGCAGATTAGCGGGGGGGGGGGGGGTTTATCTTCCTAACGATTAATTGGCTTCACGAGTAAGACGGGCTGTCGCCAGCCATCGGGCAGGAGGGCTGTGGCACAGGGTGCCAGCTCTGCTACGCTGATGACAAATATCTGACCCAGCTAGATGGAAAACAGGCTGTTAGTGATGCTTCGGAGTTTTCCAGCAGCTTTCTTTGATCGAAATTATTTGATATCAGAGTGCAGCAGGGAGGTGATGAGAAAGAACAAAACCGGGGCTCGTGGTGAATAAATCTCTAATTTTTAGGGTCCGATGGAGACCCGAGTTGGACTAATCCAGGTGCTGAATGCAGCGCGATGCATCGAGCATCACCGGGTTTATCCCCTTCCCTCACCCACCGGATCCTGCCCCGGGGGTCAGGGCTGCGGAGACTCGGTTTCCCCGAATCCTGGGGTAAACAGGATGAGCTGGGAGGATGCCGGGGAGCTGAGGCGGCGGCTGTGCTCGGCGGAGGCCTGGCACCAGCCGGCTTTTCCCAGCCGTCATTTCCTCCAGCCACTCGTACAATAGCGCGGGGGAGGCCGGCGGGGACCCCCCCGGAGAGCGGCGGCCAGCGGATGTGCCGCGGGAGGGTGGAAAACGCCGGGAGGGGTGCGGGGAGGATGCCCGCGCCTCTGCCTGCGCCGCGGGGCCCTGGGTGAGCAGGGGGCAGCGGGAGGACGGACGGACGGACAGCGGGGGCACACGTGCCGCCTCCCGCCTTCGCACGGCTGCGGACGAGGGGAGGGGGGAAGAGCAGCTGCCTGAGCTCCTCCGTGAGAAGCTCGATGAGCTTCTGCAGGGCCAACCCCCCCATCCCCGGCTCCTTTCTGCTCCTCGGGGTGGTGGCTGTCCCCTCCTGTCCCCCCCCCCCCGGACCCCAAACCCAGCGCCTCGGGACCCTCAGCTTCCCCCTCACCACCCCACTGATCCCCCAGGGTCCCGCGCACGGGCTCAGCATCCTCTCTCCACGCTCAGCAAGAGCCACGCAGCAACGGTGCCCATGGCCAGGGCAGCTTCACGGGGCCCCCAAAACTTTGCAGTCGCCCGGGGAAGTGTCAGGAATTCGGTCGGGTTTAAGATTCGGCTGGAAGAACAGGAATCGAGCCTGGGATAAGCAGGATCAGAGCAACAAAAGCTCCAGCGATGTGGAGCCCTTCTTATAAAGCAAAGCAAAGAGGCAGCTTGTAATGTGGGGCTGCTGGAGGGTTTTATACAAAGTAAACACTCGGATGCCTGTGTTTAATCTGCTTTAATATACAGGCGCATCTGCTTCTGCCTCCTGCGAGCAGGGGGAGAGGAGGGGAGGCGGCGGAGGGGTGCAGGCTCTGTCAACCTGGCTATTGTGGGGACCCATCCCAGCCGGGCTGGGGGGCAAAGCTGCTCGCCCCAACCTCGCCATCCCAACGGCTGGGCATCCCGGTCCCCGCGTGGGACAAGGACAGGGAGAAGGGGAGGCTGTTATCCCAGTGGCAGAGGGACGTGGGGGGCCGCGGGGGCCGGGGCCGGGAGAGGAGACAGCTTGTAGGTAGGCGGGAGCTGCCAGGAGCGAGGGAGGTGGTGCCGAGCAGCTCCTGGCATGATTTTGCAGAGAGCTGTCAATGCTGCCAAAAAAAAAAAAAAAAAAAACCAAAAAACCATGGTGGAGGCTCAGATGGAGGGGCTGAAACCTGCCCCTCGGGCTGGGGGAGCTGCCTGGGCTGGAGGCAGCAAACTCCATCCCTGCGGGAATCGCCCCGCTCCGGCACCTCGGAGGCGGCTCCGTCCCTCCCGGGTGCAGCGTCCCCATCGCAGGGACCCCCCCGCAGCCATCCCCGCGCTCCCCCATCGCCTTAACCCTTGTCGATTTTTCGTAGGCATCTTGGCCGAGGCGCGTTTTAAGGTGGACAATGAGGTTTTGCAGCCGCTGGCTGGGAATTCCTCCCAGACCCTGTTGGAGCGTTGTTCTGGTGAGAGCCCGGCCGCAGCCTCGCCGACGGCACCGTTCAGATGGGGCACCCCCATCTGAACCAGCTGATGCTTTTTTTTTTTTATTTTTCTTGGCAACCAGTCTCCAAGCCCGGCATCCTTCCCTCCCTGCCGGAGCAGGAGGTGGCTCTGTAGGGATACGGGGTCTTTTTGGGGGGGACATCCTCGTCCTCAGCCCGGAGAGGGACCAGCCAGCAGAGCGGAGACCAGGCGGCTGCATCAGGGCAGGGAGATGCTGCTTCTTCCCCCCAAAAAGGGACCCGTCCCCGAGGGTCCCACTGTCCCCATCTTGTCCCACTGCCCCCATCTTGTCCCCGCTGTCCCCATCTTGTCCCCACGTGTGCGGTGACTTTCTGTCTTGTTCGCAGAGCTCCTCTTCGGCCAAGCCCGGGCGCAGCCCTGGCAGGTGAACGGTGTCCTGGGGGGGTCCGCGCTGCTCTCCCCGGCTCTACCCCCCAACAAGACAGTGAGGGAGATCGAGTGGAGCTTTTCAACCGGCGCCGGTGCCACCATCCAAGTGGCAGAGTTTCGGTCCGGCACCTTCGAGCGCCCCGACCCCAAGGACCGGTTCAAGGACCGGCTGGAGATGCTCAACGAGACGGCGCTGAAGATCAGGGCCCTGGAGCGGGGTGACAGCGGGGTCTACGGGGCTCGGATTAAACTGCACCCGGCGCTGGTGGAGGATCAGATCTTCAACCTCTCCGTCTACGGTGAGCGGCTGCAGGTTGGGGTTTGGCACAGGCACCTGGGGCAAAAACAGAAAGCCCCAAGTGCGAGCACTAACCCCTTTGCAGGAAGGGAAACTGAGGCACAGAGAAATGACGAGGTTTACCAGAGTAAATAGAAAGCCCTGAGTGTGAGCATTAACCCCTTTGCAGGAGGGGAAACTGAGGCATAGAGCAATGATGGGGTTTACCAGGGTAAATAGAAAGCCCTGAGTGTGAGCACTAACCCCGTTGCAGGAGGGGAAACTGAGGCACGGAGCAATGATGGGGTTTACCAGGGTAAAATAGAAAGCCCCGAGTGCGAGCACTAACCCCTTTAAAGGAGGGGAAACTGAGGCATGGAGCAGTGATGGGGTTTACCAGGGTTAGGTTAGACCCCAACCTTTTCACCCCAGTGCCTGCAGCCCCTCAAGCTCTGCAAAAAGCCCGATCCTGCCACCCCCAGGGGTCCCCAGGGTGGCTGTGCCGTGCCCCGCCGGGGACAAGCGCGACAGCGGGGGTGAGCAGGGTGGAGAACTCCCCTCCACCCCGCGCTGAGCTGCCCCCGCCGTCGGCCGCAGAGTCGGTGCCGAGCCCCCGGACCCGCAGCCAGCTCCTGGCCAGCACCCTGGAGTGGTGCAACCTGACGCTGCAGTGCCAGGGCGCCGGCAAAGGCGTCGTCAACGTCACCTGGAAGAGGGACAACGTCATCCGGGACCTGACCCCCGACCGCCACCAGCTCTCCCAGGACGGGACCACCCTACGGCTGGCCCTGCCGCCCACCGCCACCAACGTCACCTACGCCTGCACCGTCAGCAACCCCGCCGACCAAAAGGTCGTCCTCTTCGACCTGCAAGCCATCTGCCAAAGCGGAGGTGAGACCCTCGCCCCGGCGATGCTCGGGGGTCCGGCACCAGACGGCTGCCTTGGCACGGGGGTGGGCTCACCCCTTGGCGGGGGGCTGGCACCGCTCAGTGTCCCTTTTTGTCCTCGCAGGGGGACAGACGTCCTTCTCAAAGTCGGGGTACATCGTCCTGACCCTCATCCTGCTGGCGGTGAGCTTGGGGGGAGCCTTCTGGTGCTGGCGGATGAATAGCGAGAAGGCGGCAGACCCAGGTAATTCAAGTGTCGTCTGTCCGTCCCCGTCCCCCCCCCTGAGAGCCAGCATGGCTTTGGGGGGCTGGGGAGTGGGGTGAGGGGTGTTTCCCAGCCCCCCCTGACGCCCTGTTCCCCTGCAGCTGCCACCCCCACGGTGCCCGCCGAAGAGAGCCCCTCTGACCCCCAGTACGCCGAGATCGTGCGCCGCAGCCCCCCGGAAGGTAATGACCAGGTGAGGCCCCCGGGGGGACTTGTGGGGTCCTGACCACACCAAGGTCATGGCCACACTGGGGGTCCCCGCTGTGCTGGAGTGCCAACAGATCCGGGAGTCCCAGCCATGGCAGGGGTCACGGCAACACAGCGGGGGTGCTGGCCAAACCGGGAGTTCTGGCCACCCCAGGGTCCCAGCCCCAGTGGGGTCCCAGCCACACTGAGGGTCCCGGCTACACCAGGGGGTCCTGGTCAAACTGGGGCTCCTGGCCACATCAGGATCCCAGCCCCAGTGGGGTCCCAGCCACACTGAGGGTCCCGGCTACACCAGGGGGTCCTGGTCAAACTGGGGCTCCTGGCCACATCAGGATCCCAGCCCCAGTGGGGTCCCAGCCACACTGAGGGTCCCGGCTACACCAGGGGGTCCTGGTCAAACTGGGGCTCCTGGCCACATCAGGATCCCAGCCCCAGTGGGGTCCCAGCCCCACGGGACACCCATGGGTGCAGGCTGGGCACCGTGCCCGGGCAGAGCATCCCGCAGGGACTCCCTGGGGGCTGGGAAGGGGAGCGGGGCTGGCAAATCCCTCATCAACCCCCCAGTTTCTGCTGTAGGGCCCCGGTCACCCCGAAAATAACCAGGAGCAGAGCCCGCCGCAGAAAACACCGGTCACCACCGTCTACGAGCAGATCCGCCGGGCGCCAGAGGACACGGCCGAGGAGGTGACATAGGCCCTCAGGTGCGGGGGGGGGGGGGGGGGGGGGGCAGCTTCCCCCAAAAGGGGACCCAGCGCCGGGGAGGGGTCTGCAATGGGGGGACCCCCCGACCTCCCTCACCGCACGCTGCAGAGGCTGAAGGGCTCCTCTCTCCCGCAGGCACCCGCAGAGCCGGAGCATCGGGATTTCCCGGAAGGGCTGTAAAGTGCGTTGTGTGCCAAATCCGAACCCTCCAGCCCCCCGTTTCGGCTCCGGGGGTGGGAGGCACCGTCTCGGGGCGATAGCCGGACGGACGCTTTTCCCCCCCTACCTCCGGTTTCTCTCCAACCTCCTTGTCTGACACCCTCTGAAAACTGTTTGGGGAGTGGGATCCCGGACGAGCTGGGGGACCCTTCCGCCGTCCCTGGATGTCCCGGGATGCTCCGGGATGGGGGGACCCCGGGGTTCACCTCCCACATGCCGCTGCTGCCGGGCTTGATCGGGCCTGGGGGGCGTTGGGGAGGGCAGGCATGCACTGCAGGGCCAGGATGAGACCCTCTGGGGCAGATTGACCCCCCCACCCCTCCCCAACTCCCCCCTTTCCCAGCCTCCAGCTCCCACCGTGGCTTCCCCGGGACCCTCTGTGGGGAGATGCCCACCCTCTTCGCTGCTGCCGCAGAGGGGACACCGGGGTGACCCCCCAACGCCGTCCCACGCAGCTCCACTGGTGCAGACCCAGGTGGCATCTCCGGGGCCACGGAGGGATGCAGAAGGGACCGTCGCCTGTGCAGATCCACCGAGAAACACCCCCCAAATTACCTCTTCCCCCCCTGCCCCCCCACCCCCCCCCCCCCGCCCCATAGCTGTTGCCTGTGTAGCCCGTGCACTGTCACGAGGGAGCGGGTGTCTCACTGCCTGTGTGTCCAGCACCTACTGCCACGGGGCCCCTCGCTCGGCCAGACCTCCCGCCGTTGTAAAAAGAGCAAATAAATGTTGGTGAGATCACAGAGGAGGAGCTGACGGCGGACCGGGCATGCACGTACGTGCATGTGCATGCGTGTGCGTGCGTGCACGGGCCCGCCTGTTTCTCTCTGTGCATCTGCACGCGGACCCGTCGCAGTAAAAGCAGCCCGGGGTCGTGCAAACTGCCCAGGTTTGAGGCTGCACCCCGAGAAACCCCAGCCCTGTCCCCTGCACGCTGGGGGTGACGCAGCCGCCTCTCACTTCCCTTTTCAGAAAGGCAGCAGTGGTGTGACCTCCGCTCGTGATCCGTGTGCTGGCCGGGGCCATCCCTGGCCCCCCCCATCCCCCCAAAACCCAGGGGGGGGGCTCTCACAGCCTGACTCTCCATCACAGCCGGGACATGGCAGGAGCCCCGAGGGGTGACAACCACTGTGGGGACAGGGCTGGCCTGTCCCCAGAGACTTGCTCCTCTTTTGCATGTCCCCTGCTGCTGCTGGAGGGGACTCCAGTTCAGCGAAAGTTTCTCGAGCAAACACTTTCCTGTTCACAGGGGAGAAACCGGCCGAGCCCCCAGTGGGAAACGCAGCCTCGGGGCAGGGGATGGGACAACCTGGGCGTGGGGGACTGGACATCCCAAATGTGGGGGACAGGAGCATCCCGGATGCAGGGGACAGGACATCCCGGGCCCTGGGGATGGGACATCCCAGGTATGGGGGACAGAACATCCCGAATGCGGGAAACAGGAGCATCCCGGGTGCTGGGAGCCCAACCAGGACATTTCCAAGCCAAGAGGGACCCTCTCCCCTCGGTTTAAAGCCGGGGGAGGAGCAGTCACCCCAGCTTGGCCCCACGATGGGGACAAGGACCCATCCCTCCCCTGGCTCCACGTAGGCAGCCGGCCCAGCTGGCATTATTTACCCAACAGCAGGCATTACCAGGCAGCATCCGGCTCCTTCTTTTATTTATTTATTGCACCTCGTTCCCGGGGAGGGGGGGTGCAAAACGAGGGCTGGGCAGTAGGGACCAGCTTGGGGGATTTGGGGATCAACCCAGGGGCTTTGGGGACCAGCACCAAACGCTTGGTGCAACAAGAGAGAGAGATGGCACTGAACCCCAACGCGTGACACCAGCTGGGGTTCGGTGATGTCCCCGGGGTGTCCTTGCATCGCCACTCCCCTGGAAAGGTGCGTTGCTGTATGTGGGTGGATTTGCATGTTCACTCCCTCCGAGCCGGTAGACAGAGCTAGAGATCAAGGCTTTGAGCTCGCAATGGGGATGTCACCCGGTCACCCACGTCCCCCTGTCCCCTGGCTGCTGGCCCCACTCCTGATAGTGGCAGGTAGGCATGAGGGGAGGGCAGCAGCCGTGCTGGGAGGGGACCACGGCTGGTCCAACACCCGCAACCCCCATCTATTAGCAAACCCCCATTTCTCAGCGATCAGGCGGCGGTGGGAGAGAGCTGGGGAGTGTGGCTTTGGATCCCAGTTGCAAAATGAACGCTAGCCCTGGGAGGTTAGAAAATACGTGAAATATTCGGGGTGAGAACGGGATTTCCCTCTGTGAAGGAGCTGGGAAGGATGCACCGGGGCACCGGTGGTTGCTTGGGGAGTGCGTCAGGGAGAGATGGGGCTGTTTGCTTGCAGCTGAGGGGGGAAACTATGTGGGGTGTTCCTCAGCCTCCCCTCCTCGTTTTACTGCCGGCATAAATCAATCCCCAAGAGGTTTACAGTCCCCGACGGGGCTGGGACCCCGAGGCTGGCACCTGGGGCTGTTTGTTCCTTCTTCTGCCCCGTGGCTGCTGCTGGGCACGCTCCGCTCAGCCGACCGGCCATAAGAAAAGGGAAAATTAATTTTGGCAAGTTACGGAGGAAGGCAAGGAGGGGTGATCTCTCCTTTTTTTTTGCCTGTGTGTTTCCGCAAGGAGGAAGAGGGGAGGCTGAAGGGCAGCTTGGCCCCGGGCTACTCCGGCCACGCTGCAGCATCACCGCTACGTACCCACTTCCTCGGGGGGGGCATGGAGGTGGGGGGTTGGAGGGGGGGTGTTGCATCCTGCAGCCATCGCTGGCACCGAGAAAAGGCTTGATGGGTGCAGTGCGGGGGCAGGGGCCGGGTGCTGCCCGGCGTTTAACCATCGCCCAGCTGGGTGTCTCGCCGTCACCTCTCGCGGCTGCTGAACCGAACGCAGCATCCTCCTGGCGCCCAACGTGGTGGGCATCCAAATGAACACCCCCCCCCCCCTCCAAAAAAAAACAGGCTGAGGTCCCACGGCCGTGCTCGCATGATGGGGTGATGAACCCCCCTCCCCTGCAATGCTACACACACACACACGCGCGCGCGCGCACCCCCCGGTGCGTGCGGTTTGACGGCTGCATCCCAGCCGCGCTGTTCTCCTCGCTTCGCCTTCCTCTTTGCAAACCAAAGCGGCTGGGGAGAGCGGGGGAGAGGCCGGAGCCAGCCCCAGAGCGCGCAGGAAGTGAGCAGCCTGCGAGCCGGGGTGCAGGAGGGGCCCTGAGCTGTGGGGACACGGCTGTCCGTCTGGCTGTCCGGCCATCCCCACCCAGGGGAGGCTGAGTCAGCTTCTCGCAGCCTTCGGCATCTCAGAGCCGCGTCCCCCCCCCGGCGTGGGCAGCCCTGCTGCTGGGACCAGCTCGCTGTCACCCCCGGGCGTTGGGGGGCTGCGCCCCGAAAGCTCAGCGCTGAGCTGCCCCACAGCCCTGGCTGGAGGGTCCCTGTCCCCAGTGGGACACGTGGGGACATTTCCTGAAGGTTTCACCTCAAACTTGTCCCGGTTTGGGCCCCACTTGGGCACAGGATCAGTGGGGAGAGCATCCCCGTCCTCTCCATGAAGCCCTGGCTGGTCCCCGTTGTGGGGTGGCCCCATGCACAGCGTGAGGTGACACGGGGTGACACTGGGACAACACAGGATGATGCTGGGGAAGGCACCGCGAGCGCCTGGCATCCCCCCGGCCCCGGGGGATGCTGGCAGGGAAGGTGACGGGTGTAGGATTAAATGAATCATCTCAGGCAGGCGCCACACTCTCATGACTAAGGCACGGGTGGGCAGATGCCCACGGGTGCCTCGGGTGGGGGCTGTGGGCAGGAACGGGGGGTCTGCTGGGGGTGTCCATCCTCCAGACTATCCCTGTCCCGGCCAGGAGCTGCAGGTCCCCAGCCCCAGCAGGTGAACGGTGTCCTGGGGGGGTCCGCGCTGCTCTCCCCGGCTCTACCCCCCAACAAGACAGTGAGGGAGATCGAGTGGAGCTTTTCAACCGGCGCCGGTGCCACCATCCAAGTGGCAGAGTTTCGGTCCGGCACCTTCGAGCGCCCCGACCCCAAGGACCGGTTCAAGGACCGGCTGGAGATGCTCAACGAGACGGCGCTGAAGATCAGGGCCCTGGAGCGGGGTGACAGCGGGGTCTACGGGGCTCGGATTAAACTGCACCCGGCGCTGGTGGAGGATCAGATCTTCAACCTCTCCGTCTACGGTGAGCGGCTGCAAAGCGGTGGGTGGTGGAGATGGTTTTACAGCCTCAGTGGGTTTATAGCCTGTGGGAGAGGCAATAAAACCCTTCTGCACCCAGAGTTATCAGCGCCGAGAAAGGGGAAGAGAGAATGCTCTTGATGCTGAGCATATGTCATGGGGATTTTCCTGGTACATGACTAACCGCGATCCACCCCCACCTGCGCTTCCCCTTCCCGCACCCTCTCGCTGTCCCTCCAGCCCCACTCGCTTTCCCTGGGGACCGAGGGTGTCCCCAGGGTGTCCCCAGGGCGTCCCCGGCCAGGCTGGGTCCTGTGACAGGGTTTGTTTGCACCTTAAACAGAGCCGGTGCCAGCACCAGAGATCCAGCACCGGCTGCTATCCCTCACCGACCAAGGGTGCAACATCACCCTGCGGTGCTGGGTGCTGGCCGGCAGCGGTGCTGAGGCCGCCTGGCAGCTCGGCAGCTCCCTGGGGACACTTTGGGGTCACCTTTGCGAAGACAACGGGACACTGTGCCTGGCCGTGCCCGCCAGCGCCTTCGCCTCCAGTTACACCTGCGTGGCCCGAAATCCCATCGAGGAGCGGAGCGTCTCCATCCGCCTCGACACCCTGTGCCGGCAGCAGGGTAAAAAACTGTCCCCCCCGGCACCCGGTGCCACCCGGCCGGCGGGGTCCTGGCACCCACCACGGCTTGTCCCCGCAGAGACGCATCGCTGGTGGATGTGGCAGCTGTGCCTGGTGCTGCTGCTGGCCGCGGGTGCCCTGCTCGGCATCGTCCAGCTGTGGAGGAAGAAGAGGAGGAAGAAAGCAGCCGAGGGAGGTGGGCGCTGCCGGCTCAAGGCTGAAGCGCTCGGCAAAGAGCCGGGAAAGAGGAAACCGGCTTTTTCCTTCGCTGTGGTTCTGCCGGCGCTGCCCGGACCTGGGCGGCTCCATCCCCCCTTCCCCGCACCCCGGTTCCCCCCGGCACCCCTCCGCTCATCCCCGCCTGCTCCTCTCACCGTAGCTGCCCTCTCCTTCCTCCCCGGCGAGGATGCTCCGGTGGAGCCGCGGTACACCAGGATCCAGAGGAGACCCCCCCCTGGAGACGGAGGAGTGGGTGAGGCTGGGGGGCTAGAGCTGAATTTGGCTCCTGGCCCATTGCACGGCGATGCCGGGGCCAAATTCTGCTCATGCCGGGGCTGGGCTCTGGCTTCTAGCCCTCTCCTCCAGGCGCTGTGGCTGAGGGTCCCTCCGTGTCCCCAAAGTCCCCTAAACCGGGGGACACAACCCCCCCTTCCTCAGCCCCATCGCCCCGAAACGCCTCGTGCTTCACCCCTGGGGTGGACGGGGAGGTGTTGGGGGGGGACATCAAAGGGAACTTTTCAGGGTCACCATGTCCCCCGGGGGGTTGTCCCAACTGGGGAGGGCCACAACCATCCCCCCTGCCAAGGGCTGGGGGCTCAAGGTGGGGGGGGTGTTTCCTCCCTGTTTTCTGACACACACACACCCCCCCCCCCCCCAGCAGCGAGACCACCCCACCACCATTTACAGCCAGGTGCAGGCAAGCGCGGGCAACCAGTCCGAGGTGCTCACCTAGCCCACTGCCACTGGTGAGTGTGGCCAGCACCGCGGCCGTGCCGGCATCGGCGGGGAGGGGGAGGGAGGGGCTCCATCCTCATCCCACCACCCCCGGAGGGACCCGGCTGCGTCCCGGCACTGACTGTCCCCGCTTTGTCCCCAAGCAGGACGGGGACCACCGAGCCCCCGTGATACCGAGCTGACGGACGGTGCCGTGGGCTGACGGACACTCGTGTGTGTGTGTGTGTCCCCTCCATGATGTCTCCAACTGCCCCGTGTCCCCCCACCTCTGTTGTGGCAGCAGAGTAGGATTTGGGGGGGGGGGGGTGACGGGACAGACAACACACACAGTGGGCAGCGTCCCTGGGGGCTGCCACATCCCCTTTCCTCAAACCCAAGCGCAGCCCGGCAGGGATAGGGGTGAAGGATGGGCTGGAGGGGGGGGCTCCAACCCCCCCCCCCCCCAGCCTTGGCTCACTGGTGACTCCAATAAAGGCAGGTGAAGATGAGATGTGGGTGGATTTCTGGGGGCTAAAGCCCCCCACCCCCCGGGGGCACCCAGGGACATGGGGGCTCTGCAGCCTGGGCGGGGGTCCTGGGCTGCCCTCCCTGTAGTGGGGCGGGGGGTGATTGTGGGGGGACACACATGTGGATAAAAGCTGGGGGGGGGGGGGCTCGTGGTGATGGGGGGGACACCAATGTGTGGGTTCAAGCTGGGGGGGGGCGGGGAGGGGGGGCACAGGGTGATGCCCAGGGCTGGGGCTGGCCCCGTCCCAAAGCGGCCCCCCCAGGAGCTGTAGCAAGGGCAGGGCAGGGGGGGGCCAGCACCCACGGGGGGGTGAGGGGGGGGAAGTAGCACCCACGGCTCTGTGCAGCGTATCAGGGGTCAGTCACGGGGTGCCCTCTCCCAAAGAGGGGGTGTCGTCCCCCCCCAGCCTCCAGCTGCTCACGCCCCAGGACACAGCTGGGCCCCCCCCCCCCCATACGGCCCCAGCGCTGTATGGCCCTGGTCCCCACAGGGACAAATCCTGCACAGCCGGATCCCCGCACAGCTGGATCCTGGCGAAGGGGGCCCCATGTGTAGCAGGATCCCTGCACAGCTGGATCCCAGTAAATGGGGACCCCTGCACAGCTGTATGCCCACACAGCTGGATCCTGAGAGAGTCATATACCCGCACAGCTGGAGCCCTGCACATCTGGATCCCCATGCAGTGGGAATCCCGCCCAGCAGGATCCCTGTCCAGCTGGATCTTTATACAGTCACACCCTTGCACAGCTGGATCACAGTAAAGCAGAACCCCCCGTGCAGCTGGATCCCCCCCATATAGCGGCATCCCTGCACATCTGGATCCTAGTGAAGGGATCCCTGCGCAGCTGGATCCCCACACAGCTGGATCATGGTAGCCTGGATCTCCGCACAGCCAGATCCCAGTAAAAGGGACTCCCATGCAGCTGGACCCTCACACAGCTGGATCAGGGTCAAAGGGACCCCCACGCAGCTGGATTCCCACACAGCTGGATCCTGGCAACATGGATCCCGGTAAAAGGCACCTCTGTGCAGTTGAATCCCTGCGCAGCTGGATCCTGGTAAGACAGATCTCCCCGCACATCTGGATGCCTGCGCAGCTGGATTCTGGTAAAGGGGAGCCCTGCACAGCTGGATCCCGGTGAAACGAAGCCCTGCGCAGCTGGATCTGCGCACAGCTGGATCCTGGCAACATGGATCCCAGCACAGCTGGATACACGTGCAGCTGGATCCCCGTAACACAGATCCCTGCACATCTGGGGGCCCGCGCAGCTGGATCCTGGTGAAAGGGACCTCTGCGCAGCTGGGTCCCTGCGCAGCTGGATCCTGGTAAAGGGGATCCCTGCACAGCTGGATCCCTGTAACATGGGGCCCTGCACATCTGGATCCCCGCGTCGCTGGATCCCGGTAAAAGGGACCACTGCGCAGCTGGATTCTGGTAAAGGGCATTCCCGCACAGCTGGATCCCGGCGAAACGAACCCCTGCGCAGCTGGATCCCCGCGCAGCTGGATCCCCGTGACATGGGACCCTCCACAGCTGGATCCCCGCACAGCTGGATCCCCGTGACATGGGACCCTCCACAGCTGGATCCCCGCACAGCTGGATCCCCGCACAGCTGGATCCCGCTCACTCGGGTCGCGCCGCCCCTCCCCCGCCTCCGTCACGGCGCGGGGAGGGCGGGGCCGTACGTGCGCGCTCCCGCCGGGCCGGGCCGGAAGCGGAAGCGCGTGGGCTCGTGCCCGGAAGTGTGTGGGCGGTGGCGGCGGTTCCGGTTCCGGCGGCCGTGCGGGGGAGGCAGCGGCGGCGGCGGCGGCAGCAGCGAGGCGAGCGGCGCGTTCCCCGCATCGGCACCGCGGCCCCGGGCGCGCTGCGCCGGCCCCCCCCCCCCCCCCCCCCGCTGCACCCGCCGGACCCGGCCCGGCCCGCGCCGCCCCCGCAGGTGGGTCCCGCCACCGGGCGCGGCCGAACCGCCGCCGACGCCGCCCCGTACGCGCAGGCTCGGTCCCGCCGGGGCCCGGCTGCCGGCGAGGCCTTGGCGGGTGGGGGGGGGGGGGGGGGGTCGGTTACCGGAGCGGGGAGGCCAACCGGGAGGCTCTCGGTCTCGGTTAGCGCCGCGGCGATGCTGCGGATGGAGGGGGGAGGATTAACGGGGAGCTCCCGGTTACCGGGCAGGGTTAGGGCGAACCGTAGCGGGAAATCCTCCCGGTAAACGTAGGAAGCGGGTCGGGGGAGGGGGGGGGCCGGGCCCGGTAACCGGGAGGGGGCGGGGGGAGGCCCGGGGGTGGAGGGAGGGGGCGGGCGGCGGTGCCGCGGCTGCCCCGCCCGGGGCAGGGGCGGGAGCGGCGGGCAGGCCGGGGCAGGCCGGCGGCGGGGGGGGGGGGGGGGGCTGTAACGGGAGCCCGGGCCCGGCCGCCGCCGCGGCGCCTCCATCTCCTCCCGGCAGCCATTTACATACTTTGAACATTTCCAAGCAGGAAAGGCCGGCGGGGCCGCAGCGGGGCCGGTTCCTCCGGAGGAGGGTGGCTCGGGATCCCGCTGTTGCTCCCGGAGCCTCTTTTTTTTTTTTTTTTTTTTTTTTCTTTTTTTTTTCTTTTTTTTTTCGGGGGGGGGGGGTTACAGACACGCGCACCCCTTGCTCCGTTTCCGCGGCGCTGCCAGGTAGCGCTTCCAGCCGATCCCCCCCTAAAGCGATTGGAATCAGATGTGCCGCCTCCAACGGGGATCGGGAACCGGGATTTTCTCTTCCCCCACCCCCCCCCCCCCCGTCCCCCCTTTTTTTTTTTTCCCCTCGCTGGTACATCTGGGCGAGCTCAGCAGCTTGTGTATTTTGGCAGCGGAGCCCGTCTAGGAACAGAAGACAAACTGTGTTTGGCTTGTTTTGTCTGTCTGACGGCCCCGCCGCGCTGCCGCGGTTCGTTCGCGGGCTTTAACGGCCGGGCAGGAGGGAGGCAGGGATTAAACGCCGGCTTTTTGGAAAGACAGACGGGGCTGATTATGGTCCCGGAGAGCCCGGGCGGCGTCTCTGGGGACGGGCAGGGTTACGGCTGGAGGTGGCCTCTCCGGAGAAATTCCAAGTGCCGCCTGCGATAATGGCGTGTCGATGTCGCTGATGCCGATTTCCTTCTGTTTTGCAGTCAGCAGGAGGGAGAAAATGAAAGCAGGCTGCAGCATTGTGGATAAGCCAGAAGGAGGAGGAGGTAAGGAAGTCTAAAGGCTGAGTTGTTCAGCTGTTACGAATTCTTTTCCCAGGATAAAGGAGCTCAGGCGGGATTAATTCCACCTCTCCCCGAAGCTCTCGTACGTGGGCAAAAGCCGCGTGCGAGCGAGGGTCGGTCAGATGCCCGGCCGATGGGTTGTCAGCGCGGGTTTAAGAGCACTGGGTTTAATATACAAATAAATCTCCCTGGGGCTGTTCTATTCGTAAGGATTCGGGATCTCTGAGGTGGATCCCCTCCAGTCTGGCAGAGCTCGTGCCTGGTTTTGTCTCCCTCGCAGCCTGCGATAGCGGGGTGGGTGGCGTCGGAGCGTGATGCGACTTCTTCCACGCTGCTGGAGCCTGAAATCGTGGCCACGATGATTTGGGGGGAGGAGAGAAGGGGGTGGGGGGGGAGGGGGGGCGGAATTAAAAAAAAAAAATATATATATACCCTTGCGTTAGTAGTTGTGCTGGGAAACTATTCTGAGAAAGCCGAACTTGGCAGTCGCTCAGAAACATCTGCCGACGCAGGCGAAGCTGGAGCGGGCTGCCGTGCTCTGAAATAAGGGGAGCTGGAGGCCCTGAGAGCCCCCCGCCCTCACCCCCCCTCGACATGGGCGCACCGAATGCTCAAATCGGGATTCTTTGTGTTATTTCAGCCACCTGGAGTCCAAATTGTAGCAGCGTCTCAAGCTTTTGGGCTCCTTTCCACTGCTGCTCACGCTTACGGCCCTTTCGGTTTTACCATTTTTTTTTTGCGGTGTTTGGGGATTCTCCAAGGAGAGGGGGCTAAAAGGAGTAAGAAAATGAGCAGCTAGAGTAGGAGAGCCAGGTTTCTCTGCTTCCACACTGAATGTTTAATAGAATTACAGCCCCCGGCGATGCTCTGTGGTCTTGCTCTGGAGAAAACATGATAAACACCCAGTAGAGCTTGGCAGTTGTAAGCTTCTGTTGCTGTCTGAATTACTTTTTATTTATTTATTTATTTATTTTTAAATTTTTTTTTATTTTTAATTTTTGACCCTTTCCAAGGTTATCATTTCCCAGAGTGGGCTTACAAGACCGAGTCCAGCCCCGGCTCCCGGCAGATCCAGTTATGGCATTTCATCCTGGAGCTGCTGCAGAAGGAGGAGTTTCGCCATGTCATCGCCTGGCAGCAGGGCGAGTACGGGGAGTTTGTCATCAAGGACCCCGATGAAGTGGCCCGGCTGTGGGGCAGAAGAAAATGCAAACCCCAGATGAACTACGACAAGCTGAGCCGGGCGCTCAGGTGAGCAGAAATTTCCACAGAGGTGAGGGGCTGGTAACGAGCCCTCCTTCCCTCCTTCCCTGCCTCATTTGGGGAACTGATTTAAATATTCAGACCCTTTTTCGGTGGCATCTGCATTTCTGGGGGGGGGGGGTTGTATCAAATTTTGAGCTGTGGGATGCCGGATTGCTCGGGTAGGTCTGACTGTACCAGGGTGTGATTAGAGACACGGGGGAGGGAGTCCTGGGTTCACCGTGCCGTGTTCTGCGTCACCGTGTAAATTTGCACCTCCAGTTCAGGTGGTTATTATCAGGATGGCTTCCTTCCGGGGAGCTTTTCTGTCTCTTTTCTCAGCTTCCATTGCTGCTGCTGGCTTGAGCAATGAAGGTGTGGGAGGAAACCAGAGGTGTTACTCTGTTATCACACCATCAAGGGTACCGTTTCAGAGAAAGCAACTCCCCTTTCTAACATAACTTGTACTTGGCCTCTCTACCACTAAATCTGTGCGAGGCAGAGGTTTGGTGCCAGTCCCATGGC